AACCAACACAAATGATTTTCTAATGGGCAATTAAGTGCTTATTTCAACTCTTCCTGGAAGGTTTGCTGAATTTTCCCTGTCACTGCCTGTACATGAGGATGGCAAGAGGTGTGGTTTGTATCGATGAGATGATCTTAGAGGTCTTTTCCAACTGTAATGATTCTATGATTCCATCTCCACCGTAGCTTAAACTGATGTATAATGCTGCTGCTGTAATCCTGCCCTGCCCTGTTTGTCAGCCTGCATGTTCCCCTGACCCTGTGGTGAACTACTGCAGGGCTCTGGAATCCAGCCACAGAAATACAGCTGGATGCAAACGGTTCAAAAGCATTTAAAATTCCATTTTGAATTGAGAAACAGAGTCTGAAAACTTGAGCTTTCTCAAACAAGTGGAAAAACAGTTTATTGATTTGTTTCCAGTATTTGCTACTTAACTTCCCTTTAGGAATACAAAATACAGATTGTTCAGTATACTGCAATTGTAAGATAACCTTGAACTGCAACCACCTGAGAATTAATTACTCTTTTTATGTCAATTGCTTATCATAGCTGTGCTTGTTTTTTGTCTCTACATCTTCTGATGTTGATTCCTGAAAATTTGTGTTCAGTTTCTGGCATGGTTATGAAGTGCTCAGAAGTTGATAGTCCTATCTATTTTTTAGTTAAGCCAAGAGCCAATTATCAGATGAGTAGTAGAATCAAACCCTCTTACCTATGGAATTCTATTTTAAAGCTAATTTAAGAAGTTGGATTTTGTTGTTTGTGCCTGAAGAGCCTACTGTCCCTCCTTCTTTATCTCTTCCCACCACAAAAAGGTTTTTCTTTTTTCATTGCAGTGTTGTACTGTTGCATATGGTGTATTGGACAATTTTATGTGTATGGAATTTGCTGTCTTATTCACTTGATTTTTTTTTCTTCCTTTTTTGTTGATGCATATAGAAATATTATTTTTCTTCACGACAAATGCTTTGTAAAATAAATGGAGCGGTTTAATTTCTTGTTAAATATATAACTCAGTCATTTAGATAAAATATTCTGGTTGAATTCATCAAAGATAAATTAAAATAGCAAAAAGGACTTGTGCTGAGATGGAACTAGTTTTAAACATCAAAGTATTCTGTAGGCCTATATCACCAGATCTCCCACTGTGGTGCTGTTCATATCATTGCCTCTTTATCTTCTTACTCCTTTATGACAGCTGGAAAGAAATGGTTTGACATTTACTCTGGAACTCATCTTGAGAGCAGTAATTTATGAAGAAGGCAATGCTACAAGTGAAAGCCTAACTGATAACATTTTTTTCTGCTCCCTGATTTAATGTAAAAGCATTTAGAAGTCACAGATCAGCAAAATACACTCAGTGCATTGGTGTATGAAACATTGTACTGAAGAGTATGAATGATAACTTTTGCGTTCTGTGTAGGTGTTTTGATCCCCTTTTGAAGGGCACCTTGGCATCATTCAAAGCTAGTGCTTCATTCCCATTCCCCTGACCTTTGAGGGAGGAGAGGTGGGGACCAGAAACAAGGCAACAGCTTTTGAACTTTACCTTGTTTTCAAGTCAGAGGATGACCGAATCTGAAGAAATGATATTTCATCTGTCCTTAAGTAAGTCAGATACAGGTTTTTCTGCTGAAGCTGCTAATAGAAATGCTCACTTCGACCATTTTTTTTTCTTCTCAGGTATGTAATGAAGTCTCTCAGAAATGGGATGTATTCAGAGCTCATGTTTTCCTTAATATCATTGTTATGACCATAGCTATGTATTTGTCTATTCTTTAAATTAATTAATATCTGTTCATGAAAAATCTGTAGTTGGGTGCTCAGGTCAGGCAGAACAGTCAGGCACTTACCTTCCTCCTTTTGGCATTCAGAGTGAGGTGAGGTGACTGGTGCAGAACACACAGCTTCTCTGGGTTGCTGTCATCAAAATCAGTGCCTTTCTCCTCTGAAATGAACAGTGGTGGTTTGGTTTAACCCGCAGCAGGCAGCTCAGCACCATCCAGCTGCTTTCCTACGCTCCTCAGTTGGTACTGCAGAAAGAACTGGAAAGGGGTAGAAGTGGGAGGGCTTGTGGGTTGAGACAGTAAAGCAAGAGCTTTGCTGGTAAAGCAAAAGCCGTGCTTGCAAGCAAAGCAAATGCATATGCTGCTTCTCAGTAGCAGGCAGATGTTCAGCCACTCCCAGAAAAGTAGGGCTCATCACACATAGCTGTTTCTTGGCATGGCAGGTGGTGTCGCTCTGAACAACCCCCCCCTCCATTTTTACAACTGAGCACGTTGCCCTATGGTGTGGGTATGGAATATCCCATTGGTCAACCTGGGTCAGCCATCCTGGCTGTGTCCTCTCCCAGCTCCTCTCTGCCAGGGCAGCACCAGGAGCAGTAAGTATGTACAACTTACACCCTGTGTAAGCCCTGCTCAGCAACTGCTATAACGTGGGGGTGTTAGCATCAATTCTTTTCACCCCAAACCTGAAGCACAGCACCGTGCTGCTGGTAAGAAGACACTGAGCTCTATTCTAGCCCAAACAGGATGTGTCTCTCAAGTTTTAAATACAGGAGATGAGGAGAACCTCTACAAAAAAAGTGCGCTGAAATGTGTAGGTATTGAACAGAATCCAAAGCGCTGAACAGGTCGGTGGGCTGTGACGAAAAAACACTTTGGAGGTAATGTAACTGTCAAGCACTTGTAGTTCATTTCTATCGATGTTGCTTTCCCGGCTTCTAACGAAAGGCTTCACCTTCTGGGCTCAGCGATGCTGTTACTCGTGCTCGCTTCGGGCCCGGCTTACGCAGCGGGTGCGGGCCGGGCCAGGCTGCAGCCGCATCGTTGGTGCCGAGCACGGGGTGGTGCTGCTGCACAAGCGATGGCGGGAGGATAGCGGTGCTGTTTCTCACTTGACTTACTGCTGGCTTTTTTGGTTTCGTTTTGTTTGGGTTTTTGTTTTATTTGATTGTTTTGCGCGCCTTCAAGATTGCTTTCTCTAGTGTCCTCAACCTGAAGAGTCGGTTGGACAAACATTCCTGTTTGTTGTTGTTCCTCTGTTTCCAGAATGCTACAGGATGTTCTTGTTTTCAATAGAAAACAAGTGCGCCTTAGTGTTTCTTGATGAACAAAAATACAGAAGAAATAGTAGCTGGATTTAGGTATAACGTAATTTTTGATGTTGAATGTTGACCTTCTGCAGTGTGAGCCAAACAAAACATCTGCTGCTCCTCCTCAGTCATTATCATGAGAAATAAGAAAACGTTTGTTGAACTCAGTCATTTTTCAACTCACTGCTGTGCAGTGCTTCATATACACGCACATTTCTGATTTCAGCTCCCTGAATCACTAACGTGTTTCATAGATCTGTGGTATTCTTTTCTATCTTTCAAGCCCTGATGTAATTGCCCTGCTCTGTGTGTAGAAACTGAGACCTTTAAAGGTCTAATCATGGGATCATAGACTCATAGAATGGCCTGGGTTGATAAGGACCACAATGATCATCTAGTTTCAACACCCCTGCTATGTGCAGGGTCATTAACCATCAGATCAGGTTGCCCAGAGCCACATCCAGCCTGGCCTTGAATGCCTCCGGGAATGGGACATCCACAACCTCCTTGGGCAACTTGTTCCAGTGTGTCACCACCCTCTGTGTGAAAAACTTCCTCCCAGTATCTAACCTAAACCTCCCCATCCCAGTTTAAAACCATTCCTCCTTGTCCTATCACTATCCACCCATGTAAACAGCCGTTCCCCCTCCTGTTTCTATGCTCCCTTCAAGTATTGGAATGCCACAATGAGGTCTCCCTGGAGCCTTCTCTTCTTCATTGCAAGATAACACAATATAATACAATATAATTTAAGCTAATAAACCAAATATAATGAGAGAGAGTGTCTGAGAGCCAAAGGTCTTACTCTATTGCTGAGGCGAGATGTGAGGTCAGGATGAGAAGGGAGGAATGCTAGGCTAAGCAACATAGGTTACATTTATTTTTATTGCTCATTGTTACTACTACTGTTGTTCTGACCAGGGTTCTGCGACTGCCCTGTGATCTTGCTGCTTCAGAAAATAAAATGGATCAAAAGTGGGATTAGTGCTAAAAGTCAGGAGAACATTTGCGTGGGAACTGTGACTTTAACTGCAAGAAGAGAAATAGCTGAGGTAAAGGAGTCATGATCATATTAAAACCTCAGACTGACTTTGGATTTCTAAATCCAAGTGGATAACAATGTTGGGAATTAGTGAAATAGGGAAGCAATTTGGATACTGGTAGGTTTGAGAAAGTTTTAATCGTGTGTATGAATTGTGGCCTGATCCTGTCCCGATTCACTCCTGTGCTTGTGGGTGGAAAATCCACTGATAGTCCCTGGTGTTATCTTGTGATACGCTGGTGCAAATGTGCACTGGTTCTTTAGCTTTCTGTATTTCCTTCTAACGACTGGCTACCTGCATACTGACTCTTTCCTCCTGGTTTGTGTGCAGCACTTGCTGTGTTTCACAGACAACCTTCAAGGAAGGAATAAAGACAAAGAACATTGTGTTGGTAACGCTGTTTATAATTAATAGAACTTTAAACTTCAGTGCTGTTGTCATCATTGCTTTAGAAATATGTTGGCAGTTTCTGAGTGTGATGTTACTGGGAGGGAACCCGTAAGTTATAGATACTCAAGCTCAGAAAATCTTGATCTTCTCTAAGCAGAAGCATTAAAAAAAAAAAAAAAAAAGTAAATACAGAAAATCTAAAAAGAAGGTTGTTCAATACTTAATATTTATATTCTGTCATGCCCCTGTAGCGTTTCTGTTTCCGCAACCCATGAGAGAATCTTTTGCAAGAGGAGATTGAATCAAACCCTTTCTCTTGTTAGCAGAAAGGAAGCAAAACCCCAGGGATCCTGTCCAAGTCAGTGAGAGTTTACCCTTTCTGGCATGATGGTTAGTAAACCAACCGGATGCTCAGAACGCTGCACAAATGTTAACTGATAACACATGAGGTGGCAGTATTGCATGTGAATTGCTAATGGTCATCACAAGGGAACTCTGATTGGAAGCAGAGAAATGGTTAAGGTTTGTCATCCTAACTATCATTTTAATAGTAACAAATGATAAATAACTACTGAGCTGGAAAATGTATCAAATTGGTACTGATTCATGACATTTTATTCAGCTGTTGACTCAGTTAAGCATTACTTAATCTGATTTTATTCTATGAAATGTAGATAAGTGTAGTATGCTTAGTAGAGCTTGATTAAGCTAAATGGATATTCTACTTCATGGATCTCTGCTGTATGTAATTGGAAAAAATCTTAGTAAAGTGTTGAAGAAAATTGTACATCACCAAGTAGAAAATGGAAATGGTGTTTTTGTCATGTGTTTGCCAGCAGAGGGGGTCTTGAAAATACAATGCTAACATAAAGACAAAATTTCCTGAAAGAGCTGATCATTCTTAGAAGCCACTCAGTGCAAGAAGTGGTAAAAATAGCACGGAGATAGAGAAAATTTCCAGCAGGGCCCTGCACTTGGAGTAGGCATCACCACCTGCACAAAGGGTCAAAGTTCTGCTTGTTTTTGATACTGATGACAAGCTCTGAAGCTGTGTAAACAGATGGAACTGCTCTGACAAGAAACCATGTAATTTAAACTATTTGGACTTCAGAACTTGCCTGAGTATCTTACAGGAAAAATCAATAGCACATCAATTGGTAGAAATCAGATCTTGACAAACTACCATTTCTGTTACACCAATACCGTGTATTACACATTTTCATGCATGAACTCTGACAGATCACGTATAACAAAATGAGGGAACTAGGATTGTTCAGTCTGTAGAAGAGGAGGCTCAAGGGAGACCTTATCACTCCCTACAACTGCCTGAAAGGAGGTTGTATCTAGGTGGGAGTTGTCCTCTTCTCCCATGTAAGTAATGACGGAAGAGAAGGTTTGGCCTCAAATTGCACCAGGGGAGATTCAGGTTGGACATTAGAAAACATTTCCACTCTGAAAGAGTGGTGATGCAGTGGCACAGTCTGCCCAGGGAGGTGGTGTCACAGTCCCTGGAGATGTTCACGGAAGGTTTAGATATTGTACTGAGGGGCATGGTTTGGTGGGGAAATACTGGTGGTAGGTGAACGGTTGGACTAGATGATCTTGTAGATCTTTTCCAGCTGTAGTGATTCTATGATTCTGTGATTCTAAGATGGTACAATTTTTTAAAGAGATGGAGATCAGTGAGAACTTGGGATTGCATGTGCTGAATGCCTAACTTCTATCAAACCTGTACAGACCGTTTGAACAAAATATTTTTGTAGACGCAGTTACTGTTTGGGTATCAATTTTTATAATGAAGCTAAAACTATCTGCTACTCTTCTTTCCCTTCCTCTGGACTGGAGAGGCAAGGCTGGGGTTCTTCCTGCCTTGAGGTTCCTGCCTCTGGCAGTCCTGGCTGCAGGGCCTGACGGTTCTTCCAGCCTGCCAGTCCCACCAAGACCCCTTAGTAGATCTGCTGTGGGGCCTTCTCCTGGTTAGCTCCTTCAGGATTGCAGGCTTTTCACTGCAACAAATCTCCCAGGATTGCCCCTCCCATTCTGGGGGTAATCTCTATCCCTGTTTTCTGTGCTGTAGAGATGTTCAACCTTCCTCTCTGTCCAAAATTGCATGCTGGTTTTAGTGCTCAAGCTACTGTGAGTCTAGAGATAGCACTTGGGTTTCTGTTTCCTATAATAGCCAGCATCGGAACACTGACTAGCTGGACAAAATGTTCTCAGATATGATGATGACTTTTAAAATCCATGAGAATCTATGGCTAGTTCTATGGCAGTGATTTCATCCCTGTAAGTGAGAGCAGAGATCTAGCCTGCAGCAGCTGCAGTTCCTCGTAACTGCTATGATTGGGATGCCTTGAGCTAATTTTGATTTAAATGATCACATGAAATACAAAAGTGGCTTTTCTTGAAAAGATAAGTGCAGATAATCAATATGGCTTTGCCTGACTTATGGTTGAATTTAATTTCTTTTTTTCCTCTCTATTCTAATATGCAGTCACAATTTATATTTTAAAGCGATTTTTATTCCCTAATGCATAACTCTTGTTCAGATATACAGCCACTTTCAGGGCCTTCAAAGAAGAAAGAGGAAAAGACGCAACAGAAAAGATGGGAAGTCATGAAGTAGGTGGAAGAAAAGTGGAGTCCTGGAACACATTGACTTTCATGTCAGGTTGGCAGTCAGACACTAAGGAGTATCAGGCACATCTGTTATCTGAGGGAGCGTGTCCACTTAGCCAGAAGAATTCTTGTTCCTCTAGGCTAGTCAGCTTGACAATCATGTCCTGAGGCCACATAGATGAGGTACAAACACAGAATACACTGTAGCACGACCCAGAACAGCTGCAGGGAGGGGAGTATGCAGCATCAGGACTTGGTATTTGGTCACTGTGGTGCAGGTGAGAAGGGTACACAGAGCAATCTCCCTCACTGTTTACATCGCAGAAGGAGGATCTAAGTGAGAAAAGTGGCTAAGGTTTCTCACCTGGCCCCCCAGGTACTTCAGATATCTTTTGAACAAGCATCTACTTCCAAGGGGCTGCTCTCTATCTTAGATACCTCTGTGCACCTACTGCAAAACTGGCTAAACATAGCATTGCAAGCATAGCAGCCATGAAAGGGATGCACCTTTCAGAAAGCACCTCCTTTTTGGATATGCTTAAGTCTGGTCTCAGAGTTCCTATGACCTCCTTGGATTTGGGATGAGGCTCCTACCTTGCCGTTTTGACAATGAAAAGTTTTCTGGATGGAGGATACAAAAACATCAAAGCACACCATTACTTAATAGTCTGAAATAACACGGTAGAATAATGAGTCAAAGCAGGCTTTTTTGTTGTGATGATTGAAACGTATTTTCTGTGCTAGTAATTTGTGCTGTTTTCAGTGAAATACATCAGGGTGTACAGTGGTGCCACAAGCAATGTGTATTCTGTAGCTTTCACCCTCCTGAAATTTTGAATAAGATTTAATTTAATGGATGACATATTTAGCTTGTTTTGTGAAACTTGGCTCAACAAATAAGAACATAGAAAAATGTGAGGGAGACTTCAGTGGAGATTAAGGATGTTGCATAGAATGAAGTGTTAGGGAGGTGATAGGAGGTCTGTGTGTGTCTAGATTGTTATTCTAATATAAAAACAGCTGAAAAACAAAGTAAAATGCTAACATACTGGTATGATGCACAATAAGCAAGACCTAAGTATACTTCATGATTAAATATATATGACCTGATATGGTAAATATTAAGAAAATACTTGAAAATCACAGATTGAGGTTTTCCTTCACAATGTTTATTGAGGAAAAAAAAAAGAAAGGCAAACAGGAATTAATTAGCCAAATAATACTTTAGCATGCCATACTAAGAATTAGGAAAGCTTCTTCCATTGTAAATCTTTGGTTGTTCTAATTTGTATTCTTTCTAAAAGATGTGTGTTTTTCATTATAAACTCTCAGAATTTGGATAATTTGGATGAAGCAAATGGATGCATAATGGAAATAAAAGCAAGAGGCTGAGCAATACCTGTTGCTGGCTCAAATTAGTCCAAACCAGACTCTGACTTGTGAGTTAGTCACTCAGGAGCCCAGAGCAGGTTAATTTGGATACATCTGAACATATTTCTTCAGCTGATTTTATGATAAACTTATTCATAGTTAATTAATTGATACTGTTTATTGCAGAGTGAGTTCATGATCTCTGAAGGAGGAGGCTTGAGGCAATGATTTTGCACTATTATAATCTCTAGCAGAGTTATCAGATGTCAATTGATTCACAGAACTACAACTTCAGAATCCAAAGGGCTGAAAATAGAATAATTATACAGAAAAGCTGTGAGGTCCTGCATTTAACATCACTTGAGTCATGTCATGTCATGTCATATTTCTTGAAGGCAGGCAATTTGAATCACGGAGCTAATTGGCACTCAGAACTCTGTTCCCTGCAGGATACATCAGTGGTCGCATAGAGTAGGAATGTAGCAACAGATCAATAGAAAAATCCAAGCTCTTATTTGATGGACAGGTCTGCAGCTGTGTCTTCAGGCACTAAGAATGATTTCTTGTATTAAATAAACACCAAAATCTATTGATCCTACCTTATGGATCTGATAAGTTCGAGCTAGGCTCACAAAGAAACCCGTGATAAGAACAATATTCACATGTGGGTGCGACTCTTGTGCACGTCCCTGTGGGAAAGGTCAGGGGAGACTAGTGTATTAGGAAAAAATTTTTCTCCAAAAGAGTTGCTGGATACTGGAGGAGCTGCCCAGGGAGGTGGTGGAGTAGCCATCCTTGAAGGTGTGCAAGAAAAGGCTGAATATGGCACTGAGAGACATGGTCTAGTGCTGTCACAGGCATGGATAGATGGCTGGATTAGATGATCTTCGTGGTCGTTCCAACCTTTATGATTCTATGTGATCCTCAGCTGATGGCAGGCTGCAGTTAGCTATTGGGGTGGAATCCCAAGGAGGGCCACGTGTCTGAAATCTTGCTGTGTTAAGAGCGTCTTTAGTCCCTGACTTGTGTCTGGAGGCCTGGTGCTTCTTGCAGAAAGGATTGAAATGCATGGCCTGGAATCCTAGGAGCCTTCCAAGCGGGAAACCAATTTTTTTCATTAAAAATGTTCCAGACAGATCCCTGCTTTAAAGCTACCTCATGTTTACGTAGTCCTGAAGCAGTTAAATCTGTACATAGCAGGGGGAAAACCTTTATCAATTTTCTGTACTGTGCAGATGTATTTATGCTTATAAAGTCTGAGTGCAAAAGCTTCACCTTTCTCAACAGCAGTGAAATGGATTTCTCTACTTGATTTTTATGAGACTTTATTTAGTGTGGAAAGCTGTACGTAGAAGCTATATGGCTTCCTTGCAATAAACTGGGGCTAACAGCTTTCCAGGTCTTCTGTGTTCCACCACTACATTCTAGACTATGTTATATGTCAAATTACAGCATCAGATGCAATGTAAAGCTCTGCTGCACTTTAAAAGGCAAAACCACAATAAATGCCCTCGTGTGTCTGTGTCTCTTGTTTCCCTAAAATGATTTCCCTCTGATCTGCTTCTCAACAATTTTTGCAGTAATTTGGTCTGTGGGTTTCTATTCAGTAAATTGGTTTCTCACTAAGGAGTAGAAACCTTGAAGATTAACCTTGAAGATTTTATTTTAGATGTCTTGTTGAAAATACCATTTCTGTCTGCAATATAGACCAAATGAAAACTGACGAAAGCATCACCTCCGTCTGGCACACTGCTCATGCTGATGCCACCTTCTTGATGGCAGTGAGGGACCTGCCCTGCTGGTTTGTTCCATTATACAGAGCATGTGTCTTTCTGAAGCTGCTTTTCTTCTGTTTTATGAAATGTTAGCCATTTCCCAACACAAAGGGCGACATAACGGGAGAAGGCATAGCAGCACATATCAATGGATTAAGTGTCCAGTCTTGTGCCTCATTTTATTTCTTGGACTCTTTTCATACCTCTCAGGTACTCTCATCTCTTCTTTGTCTTGTACCATGCCTCAGTATTGCAGCTAATTGCACTGTTATGCTTCTTTTTCATCAGGATGAAGCCCTCCGGCAGGGAGATGGGTATGTTGGAAAATGTTTGGTGAAAGAGACCCCCAGCCCCACACATGCTGTGGTGTCCTGGGCACACAATACTTGGCAAGCAGTCGCCTGCACCGGATGTTAGCTGTGGCTGCAGCTGTCATCTGCACAGCGGAGAGGAGATGCTCTGTTACCTACCCATCACAAACATAATCTCTCAATTTGCCTATCTATTTCCTGCTGGATGTTTTCATGCAGCAGTCATGGCTTTGTTTCTTTTTCATTTGCTCTTTTTAAGAGGATCTCAGCAGGCTCCATCTCTGCAGAATTTACAGCCTTCCCCTTCGGTGTCCATCCTATCTGTGTACATGGCTAAATTCTTAAAGAGCTAAGGCACTTTTCACCCACCTGGATGACAAGGATGTGGGAAGAACGACTCAGACACCTGACCCTTGTACTGTAAGCGGGATTTGAATCCTGCGTGATACATAGCTTGGAGGGGAGCTCTGGGATCATATCATTGAACACAGGACTAGCTTTACAATTAGGCTGGGTTGGTAGGGGTCGTGTCCAGGTTGGTTTTGAGCATCTCCAAGGACATCCTGCAGCCATCCCTAGCAGCCTGCTCCTGTGCTTAATTGCTGTCACTGTGAATATTTTCCTATGCCTTATCAGAATTTTCTTGCTGCAGCTTGTGCATCTTAATACTGACTTCTGTTTTTAAATCTTTTACTTCAGAAATCCAAGATCCACATTCATGTTTTTTGTTAAACGGTGCTCAAGAATGGCTCATGTTATGTTTTTATATCTGCAAAGCACAGCTGCTGTGGAAACCTCAGGACATCATGTTCTCTTGCAGTGTTCCCAGATGGTTTCTGTTGCCCCTGCCCTGCTTGTGCCAGGTCTGTCACACACTGCACCACAACTATGCCACAGTATGACAGAACCTCATGGTGTGAGCAAAATGAGTGGTTCAGGGTTGTCTTCCTTTCTGAGTGTAGGCAGATAGGTTTAATTAAAGAAAAAAAGAAATTGTTATTGTTCATTTTGACTCTAATCTTTCTGAAACTGAACAAATTCTAGGAAAAGCTTAGAAGAAGCATTCTGGGTAATTCTGGAGTTTGAAACAGGTAAGACACTATGCAGAAGGTGAGAATTTCAATCAATCCCTTTTCTCCAATCTCCTCCCTGCTGTTTTGTGGTAACATAATTCAGGATTTTATTATATGAGTTTGCAGATGCCTAGAGGAAGGAAAAGTACTTCATACTTTTTACTGGAATAAATTAACTTGAGCTTTCTTAGCTGTCACCATTTTATGGATACCACATAAGGGTATGAGTAATATTGTAATAATGGCACAGTTGGAGAAGGTGGTGAGAAGTGTGATGGTGACAATATAATGTATACTTTGAAAATGCTTCTGCTGTAAGGAGGAAAAACTTGCTTTTTTACCCCCATAAAAGCATCTGACACCTTCAGACAGGTCTGGCTGGGTTTTTGTTTTTTTTTGTTTTTTCTTTATTTTTAAGTTGTCAAACGCAAGAGTGCCAATAATTCTTCCTGATGCCTCATAGTGGCAATTAGTCATAATCATGTGCCAAGTGTCAGCAAGCATTATTAATGAACAGAGAGAAATTGCTTTCTGCTTGGTGTGTCTCTAAAGCAGATTGTAAATAATGACAACAAATTTCTTTCATTTTCTCCCCAACTTGAATTTCATGGAGTAACTTTTCATGAATTCACGCAGCTTCCAACAATGGAACAGAATAGAAATGGTAAGAATTCTGAATGATCCCAACTTAAAATGCTGATTTGAATGCTGATTCTTAAAGGGACCTCACCAATATACTGCTTTATGTGATAGACACTGTATTCCAATGACAAACTGCAAAGCATTTGAAGACCTACAGGACTTTATCTCCTGGGATATTGAACTGACATCTGACACCTGACTGTACTGAGCTCTGTGTCCCTGGGATCGCCGCAGAAGGGCTGTTGGCTATTTGTCTTTTCTGTAGGTGCCCTCGATTTCTGTGCTGTGCTCTTTGTTCTTTTGGTTGGTGTTCTGTCTCCCATCCCTGCCTGAGCTGTACTGAATTAAAAAAAAAAAAAAAAAAAAAAAAAAAAAAAAAAGTGATTACCACTGCAGTTCATTTTATTCAGACAATATAAGGAAATACATTGTGGATTGGCTGACTGGCACAGGATGGGCACAAAGGGATCAGGACAGAAGAGATCTTGGGGAACCTGGCGGATGTAAGGCATTTAGTTTGAAAGGATGTCCTGCAACTGCAAACATTTCACAGAGCAATGGACAGCTTGGTAGGTTCTGCTTCCTTTTATCCACCATGAAAAGCACAGAGTCCTGCTTGATCTCCTCTCCCTTGTGCCGGCTTTGAGCATAGGTTGCCTAGGTTTTGCACTGAACTGAGACCTGCATTTCTGATTTCTGAGTTTCTTTGTTTGTTTCAATCAGCAAAACCTTGTATTTCTAGGTGTTGGGTTTTTTTTTTTTCCCCCAGTACTTGTATTCTGGTGTGTAATTTTAGGGAAAGATTGTCTGGAGCCTTTTTATTGAATCAAAGCAATTTCCTAGTGAGCACGCTTTGTGACACTTGATAGTTTACTGAAAATGCCATACTTGCTGGTGTGAAAGTACCAAGGCTTTGTCCTCCCCATCTTCCAGATATTTGCTTTATCCTGTGCCTGTCCAGTCTGAAGAGGCCCTCAGATTTGTGGCAAGTCTCTGTTTTTCATATGACCTGAGCTAAGGTTGCAATCCAGTATTTAGTGGCTGGATCAGTTTTGCATGCATGTGCTAGGGTTTTTTTTTGTTTTTTTTTTTGTTTTTTGTTTTTTATTAATTTAGGGGATTTCTTAATAATGTAGGAAGTTGCAATCAAATATTCAAAGATAATTTGTTTGCCAGCCCTACCGAGGAGGCAATGGAGGAAGTCTGCTCTTTAAAATTAGCCCCTGGAGTTTGCATCAGAGCCCTTCTGAACTCATTCTGAAATTCAAGACAGAGAGCTGTAGGTGGGAACTGTTGTTTCATGAAAAGCTGCAGTCTTCTAAGGTGACTGTTATAAAGATGCAGGGTATCTGTGAGTTTTGAGGGCAAGCAAGGGTTGCAAAGACAGCAGTAGAAATTAAGAAATTATATGTATTACAAGCTCTATTTTACTACAACTTTCTAGTGTACTGATTCTCAAATGCTGGCTATCTCAGAGAACATAGTGCAGACCTGTGGTGATGAGGTGTGCTGTGAAGGAAATCTGACATCACCTAAGACCTTTTTGGGAATCATATCCTGGCTGATATCCTTTTGCCAATGAGAGCAGTGGTACAGTGTCATGGTTTAGTGGGAACAAAGTCACAGGATTTCTTGTGACTGTGTTTAATTAAAAACGCTCCGTGGGTATAACTTTACAGCACAGGATAAAATGTGGGCTCTTGACATATCAACATAGTGGAAAGTGTGAACGTTGGAACATTTGTATTTTTTTGTTCCTTATAGGCACTGGCAGCAATGCATAGAATTAGAGGCCAAACTTGAGACTCATGTATACAAATCCTTATGCTGTCAAGAAGCAATTAGCAAGAACAAACTTCAATTTCATTGCTTATATATCTCTCTAGGATCTCTCAAATTACTTTCTCCAAAGCATCTGTCGGAGAAAAATCCTAATGATTGTGCAAATCACTCATTCTCTGGGTGTGATCGGAGCTGCAAGCAGTTTGCATAGTAAACAAAGTTTTTGCCTTACCCTGTGGCTCTAATTATCTGCTCTGATGCATAAAGTAATGCAACTGTTTGGGTGAAAAATGCTATTTCCATTCTGTGCTGGCTTTTATGTGGGGGGGAAAAAAAAAAAAAAAGAGTTCTTAGCTTTGTTTTTAGCCTTCCTTTTGTTTGCAACAAGATGTAAGCCATTTGACTTCTCTCTGCATAGAGTAGAAATGGCTGGCCTAGAAACATAGAATCATGGAAAGGCCTGGGTCGAAGAAAGTTTTTGGCTGCTGGCAAAAGGAATTCTTTACACTGGAGCTGTATTACATTCTTTGAAAATGTTAAAAAGTTGCAAGTCCACATCTGGAATGATGCGTAGATGTTCAAATTAAATTTTTGGATTTTACTGTGACTAAACTCTTGTGCAAGAGGTGACATTTGTCTTTCACTTGAAATTAAAACGTGACACTGAAGGTATGCCCAGCGCTTGAATACTGAGGAATGCTTGCAAAGCAAAAGGCAAATATGCTAATCTATCTTTTAACTTAGCTTGCAAACTAGTAATGGTAATGAAGATGGCACAGTACGGACATCCTGGTAAATACTCTAATTTGCCATTTCTATTCCTCCAGCAGCGCACACTGAGATCAAGAAAGATAGTGGCTGGTGACTTTTGATTCTCTGGTTATTGTTGCATGGCAGCATTCAGAATCCAGTATACAAAAGCTTCAGAAAAGCTCTGCATAGGATAATGCTAAAAGCAAGATTACAAAGTATTATCCTAACCAATTATCCGCTGTGTTTTCTCAGCTTTCATTCTGGCTCTTCAAGACTGACCTGCAGTCTGCTTTGAGAATTTCTCCAGGCATTGGAAAGCAAAGTGCACTGCATTTGGGATTGGGGAGGGGTAAGACTCTGCAGAGCAAGCTGAGAGAGCTGTGCATGTCAAGAGGATGTGCAGCCTGGTGAGCTGCAGTCTGCTAGCAGCCCTGCTTTCCTCCCTCACTGTGCTCTGCTATGCAATGCCCACTGTTGAAGTACACTCTGGCTCTGTGCTCCTGCATGTGTGATGAGGTCCCAAGGCTTTAGGGCTAGAGCTTGCCCTTAACGGGAGTGAACTGAAGTTTTTAGATTAGGAAGTCACTTTGCATATAGCTAAATGCACATAAACTGGAGCCTTTTAAACTAAGTCCGACTGGCAGAGGTGTGATGTGGAGAACATGCTATCCAACAGAATGGATAGGCAGGTCATAGGCAATACACGACGAGGTTTTCGGGTGAGGTTAGAGCATAACAGAAAGGAGACATTTGAGCTGGTTTTTCCAGAAGGAATGTGCTGACTTCATAAGCTCTTTCTCAGGATTATCTTCATTATCTCTGAAAGTCTGTGATTGCAATAAATGACTTTTTCACAAATCCAGTGTCCCAAAGGCAAATAAACTTCATAATGTGCAGAGGAAATGTGTAAGTATAAACAAATTTATTTTCCCTACTGCTATTGTGATGCAGACAGATTTTGTTCTTTTGTTCTTGTGTAACTAAAGCCATTTCCTTGTGTTTAGCAATGTCTTTGGGCTCCCAGCAGTCATAGTGGGAGGGAGAATGAGCTTACTGTCTGTTCTGAGCTATTCTCTTCAAAGAACATATCTCTGATTGTTGTACTGCACAAGTACAGACTCCTCAGTCCTCTGAACCTTTCAAGGTCAGATAAGTGACTTTCTTCACTTCAGAAAAGAAATAGTAATGTACTTCAAAGTCTGGTGAGCAGCTTGCTGCTGTGTAAGGATCAGAGCAGTGATATGCAATAACACAACATCCCATTTCCTGAGCAGAGGTGGGGCTGGTAGCCTTTTGCACCCAATGCACAGACAGGGCACTTCAGACTATAAGTATGCATGGCAATGAGGATCCTACCAAAGCTGGAGTAGCACTGGGAATGCAAACCAAGCTTGAGATGCACAGGTCAGGTTAAAGCTACCTGTTGAAGAGTGGCAGTGCAGTCTGACAGGTAGTGAGTGAGGAGTTGTGTGTCACCACTCTGGGATAGCTGTGTGCTGTACTTCTGCTTGGAGGAACTATTTGGTAAGTGGAAAAGGAATTTTCCAGTCTCTACTCATGTTTGCTCAGGTGTCAAAGTGATGGAAAATACTGAGAGTTTTCTTGTTGTTGGAGTCTTCTTATCCCATTTGATCATCTCATTTGGTGTGCTAGAGGAAACTTGAGGAACTCTGTAATAAAAGAAGTAAGCTGGTAAGAAGTACACTGTTTTTCCATGGTAGTTTTGTTTTGATTAATGAAGCAATGAAATAAACAAAAAGTCTTCCCCTTCTTTTTGAACATTCACTAAAATAAAAAAAACGATGTTGGAAATATGAAACTTTTGACCACTTTATGACTTACTGATAAGAAATGAAGATGTGCTGCTGGATCTCAGAGCCAGTATCTGCTTAGGAGGATCACTCTGAGACAGGGGTAATTGGACTTAATGAAAGAGATCTAGCTATGCAGCCAGAATAGGGTACGATATTTAACTGGAAATGTGCAAAGTAGCATGTGAAAAGAATAGTTTAAGTGAGGATATAAATTTGGTGAAGAAAAGTGACATGAAAAGAAGCCTAAGGACAAACCAGAAGATGGTAACTGGTGATGCATCACAGCAATAGGCATCTCATTGGCTTAATCCAGGAGCTTGGTTACTAAGCAGGGAGAAAATCCTTTTTCTAGTAGATGGTAGTTATTTAGAAGATCTCATGGTAGGTGTTTAATAGAAAGATTTTTTGAAAATGGGATAGAACAGACAAGATGGTAATGAAAAAATTTATGGGTCACAAAGATTAAGCAGAGCAGAGATGAAAGTATTTGTAGAGTCTGAAATGATGAGAGATGCAATGTTTAGGTTGAATGTTCGGGATGGTATTTCCTTGTGATGAGAACTACTATATACATGAATGACTTCCTGGGAAGAGCTGACATGTCGTTACTCAGCCTCTTTTAGGATCAGTCCGGATGAGAAGCTGGTAGAGATACTATGAGGAAAACCAAACTCTATTGAGAGAAGGGTGCTATAAGTTCATTATGGGGACTTTTCTCTGATTAGAGTCAGTGAAGCAGCCTGAATAAGAAGAGCTTTATTACTGCATCATAAGCATTTTATTAATCCACCAGCTCCTTCTTTTTCTCTAACTTTTCCTACCTTTTTGTTTGCACTGGGAACAGTGTCAGCTTTTGGAACTCTCCAGTGTGTCTGGAAAGCAGCACTGGAGCAGCAGATCCAGACCATCCTGCTGGGCACCTTTCTTGACCATTCTTCGTTCTTAGGTTATCAGTGTTTTCCTCTGAAATACTCTATCACAAAAGTAACATTTTCTTTTGTAGCTGTATCCCTAAAGCCTGTATCTGGTGCAAGAATGTATCAATCCCTCTGTTCCAGTTCTGCAAGCTGGTACCTTTTCCCAGTGCTGTAGTAATATAATTCGAGCAGTCAACAGGAAGATAAATCCTTTTACCTTCACTTTCTAACCATGATCCAGAAATCTCTTGAAAAGACCCATGAATCTGTGGATACAGCTCCTGTTGCATCTCATGCTGTGTTTTGTTGAGGATGTTATACCTTTTGTTTTGTTTAAAACAAAATTCCCGACTTGTGTGTGTAATCACATTTTGTGATATTCCATCCTTGAGGGAGAACCCTGGAATTTCAATTATTTGGCAGATGAATGACAAATAAGTGGTTTTAATTCAAGTCACGTGTTTAATTTAATTCTGCAATCATATTAGCTCCCAAGATTAAAAAATAATAATTTTTCCCCCAAAGCTATTCTAGGTATACCTTTGTTATTTTGCTTCCTCCTCACACCTCTATTCCTTGTTACTTCTCTTTTCTGATATTGCCTCTTATACACTGGGGCTTAGCAAAGAAACTGTCTGATTGGTTTGATATATTTAAGCAGGTTTTGTAGTCATTTCTCAGAGGATTCAGTCTGCTCTACAGGATTTTTGAGCTGGGCCTGCAACTGCTAAATGTTTACACCTTCCTGTAAAGCTAATGGAGTCCAATGCTTCAGGTTTGGCTGTGTAAAAAAACCCAAATGCCTGAAAGATTCCTCTGTCATGGGCTATTGTCATAGGGCATTATCAAATCAGCCTTGCGGGGGAAATAAGAGACAGTGCTTGGGAATTTAAAGTGAAGAAAATCAAAATCAGAAAGTCAGGAATGAGAATTCCCTTAAGAGCTGACAAACTCTGGAAGAAGAGGGGGAGTTTTAGGAATACAAACCATACAGATATTTAGATAAGAATGCAAAACTTATGTAAAAATAAAATAAACAATCGCAAACAGAATTGGGTGTTTGCTTCTAGTAGCTAAAATCCCTCCAAGTCCTCAAAGAGTCTGTTGGATGCTGCCTCATGAGTGAGGACAACACCTTAATTGGCACGGAGTGTTTGGGCTGTGTGGGGAAAACCAGAGGGATTTCAGAGCAGCCTGTGTGCAGCAGCCTGGCTTTGCAGTGGAACAGGATCAGCTCTGCTTTTCCCCCTGTGCCAGAGACAGCTCCCTTTTAGAGGTTTTCAAGGGGCAGGAGGAGACAAAAGCAAGCTTTATGTACAACTTTCTTTGACTAAAGAAAGGAAACCATCAAGTATTCATGAAAGCAGGCCCAGGGTTAGACATACCCTGCTTTCAAAACATCTGCACAAGTTTTGTTCTATTCTTTCAAATCAATCCACAAGTTGCTGGGATTAATCCCAGGGTTTTTGCTCCTCTAAATTCCAATATAAACATATAAATCAGTTCATTCTCAAAGTGTTCTTTCATTAGCAATGAGTTCAATTAAATAGCAAATATCAT